GAGTCCACCTGGGGTTTGTTTTCTTTTCCAGATGCCTGTGACCGTGGGCCCGTACGGGCAGTCGCAGCCCAGCTGCTTTGACAGAGTCAAGATGGGTTTCATGATGGGCTTTGCCGTGGGCATGGCAGCAGGAGCGCTGTTCGGCACGTTCTCCTGCCTCAGGTATGCTGAGGAATCCGCCTCTGTGGACAGGTCGTGGCAGCAATAGCCAGAGAGAAATGCTCCTGCTCTGGGATTGGGAAGGGAGGTTATGGGTCTGGTTCTGCATCCTCCCGTAGCTGTAACTTTGCCAGTGGCTCTGAACTGGCCATGGTTTGCGAGCCTGCTGTCAGCCCTGGCCTCTAACGGGAAGGTCTGGCGATGGCTGGGCATCGCCTCTGGGCCAGCTGCCTACCAGGAGGTCGCAGTTTCACAGCCCTTTTCCTGCCGTTCCTGAGGGAGGTTGTGTTGGGAAGCTGAGGCTGTGGAAGATCAGCTCCAGGAGGAGCTGGATGACTTGTCTGTGCAGTGCACGTGCTGCCCTCTCCTTGCTCTGAAGCTTCCCGAGGTTCTCTGCAAGCTCTCAGGTATCTGCACGGTGGTTGATTTGGGTGGCCCATCCCCCTGCGCGGGTGCAATTACCGTACGGATCCTGAGGCTTAATTATGAGAGTGTAGGCAGAGCTGTGGCTGCTGCCGGCACAATCCCACTGTGAATCAGAGAGGGACAATATTCCTCCGTCCCCCGATGCTCCCTGGCACGGCCAGCATGGAAACAACGCTCACTGCTCACTGACTGGTGCTGGCACACATCATCCATTAACAGGAATTACCGAAATAAGCTCTTTCATATTTTCCAGAACACTTTCTGCTTGAGGTTTTTTAATCTGTGATTAAACGTGGGCAGTGATTTGGCAGTGAGCCTGAAGGGGGGAAAAGGCACAAAGTCTAATCTGATAAGAGTTTAAAAAGTTTTCTGATGTCTCAGATTCTTGAGAGGATTTGTGAGTGGTACAATCCTGGCAGAAAATACAGCTGTAGCGCGTTTAGAAGCAGCGACAGTGATTCTGTGGTACTTGAACAGCCACCTTACTTCTGCTGGGCCATTTCTGGGGGAAAATCTCCGTGTTTTAAAAATCAAGTGCATGAAATTCCTTGGACCCTACGGTCACTGCAGTGCTTAAAAGCCAAATACTTTGAGGACAGTTCTTTTTGTTTTGGTCTGACCTCAGGTAAACGGGACCTGGAGAACAGAAATGCCTCTGGACACTTCTAGGCCTTTTGAATTGTTCTTGTTTTAAAAACACGGTGTCGGTGGTAAATAGGAAGTTAGTTTACAATAGGGTTTTAAGTTGGTGGTATTAAAAATAATGCCACTGCAGCCAGACAGCATTGTAATACAACAGCTCAGACCCTTTTTATTCTCCATCAAGAGAGCAAAAGGGGTTTTTTCCCCAAATTAAGGGTATTTGGGGTGCTAGCAGGTAAAGCTGTTCCTGCGAGTGGTGTGGCAGGAGGATGCGGCATCAGCTGATACTGCTGCAGGAAAAAATACACGTGGGCACTGGTGAGAGTCACCCAAGTGCCCCAAAGAGAACAGCTCCATGTAAATTTTTTTTTAGTAGCTCAGGCACGGCTGCCCATCTCCTTGCAGAGACAACACTGCAAATTCAGAGCACAGAGGAGGCGTTTGATTTGGGTGCTCAGGCAGCCATTAACTGGTTGTATCAAATGTTTTCTGCTGCATGTACCTGTCAGGCTTCAGTTTTTATCTAATTCCTGTGTTTTTCTTTATCTCAGGATCGGCATGAGAGGACGGGAGCTGATGGGTGGAGTTGGCAAAACAATGATGCAGAGTGGTGGGACGTTTGGGACATTCATGGCCATTGGCATGGGAATCCGCTGCTAACCTGGAGCGTGGTTGTACCCCGGAGTGCCCCTGTCCAGCCATCCCTCCCCTGTACCCAAATAAAAACTTTAGATACCTGGAAGTGAGAGCTCTTCATGAAATGGTGAAGCACCATCCTCCTTGCTCTGCTGATTGTAAACATGCTTTTTACCAAATTTCTACTTTCCTCCCACCCCTTACTCCCATGACAACGCCAATTAATAATCCTTTGTACTACATTAAAGTTCCTGTTTCACAGGCAGAAGCACAGTGCGCACACTCTTCCCTGTGGGACCTGGGCAGCTCACGTTCCCCACGTGTTGATGGGGAGCTCCTCCCTGGTGTTTGTGCGTTCCTGAGTCTAGGAGAGTTACTCTGTGGCTAATTCAGATCGACTACTGAATTTCTTTCCTCTTGCAAAAATAGGTGGGTTGAAGCTGGCCCCATTTCTGAGTTCCAGGTAATATGGGGCAAACACCCTCAGAGAGAGTGAGGGACCCCAGAAGGAGTTGGGCAAGTCCTTCTGCAGCTGAGGGAAACGACAGCAGCTCAGGCACCTTCTTCCAGCCATCCTGGCAGCACAGAACAGTGACCAGTACAGCCATCCCACTAGAGCTGGAAATGGTTCCATTGCTGGAACATGGAAAACTGCTCCTGTCACATGACAGCTGAAGGGATTTTGTGATGAGCCACAAAGGATGATTTGCCACCAGATGTGGGAGATGCAACCTCCTTGTCAGGCCTAGAGCGACGCCAGCGCTGCCAGCACAGAGCGTGACTGCGCTGCCTGTGCCTGTCCCAGCTCCGCAGGGCGCTGTGTCCCTGCTGTGGGGTGCGCTCTGCGTGGGGTGTGCTCTTCCAGAGAAGGGAAGGGCAGAAGCAGTGGTTGCAGCTGCCTCCAGCGATAGGAACCTGTGGCTTTTTTTGATCTTGTAAGGCCCCACCTGGAGTTGTGTGTCCAGTTCTGGAGCCCCCATCACAAGAGAGACCTGGAGCAGCTGGAACAAGTCCAGAGGAGGCCACGAGGATGATGTGAGGGCTGGAGCAGCTCTGCTGTGAGGACAGGCTGAGAGAGTTGGGGCTGTTCAGCCTGGAGAAGAGAAGGCTCCGGGGAGATCTTATAGTGGCCTCCCAGTACCTGAAGGGGCTACAAGAAAGCTGGGGAGGGACTTTTCATAAGGGCAGTTAATGACAAAACAAGGGGAAATGGGTTTAAGCTGAAAGAGGGCGGGTTTAGATGAGATATTAGGAAGAAGTTCTTCACTGTGAGGGTGGTGAGACCCTGGCCCAGGTTGGCCAGAGAAGCTGTGGCTGCTCCTCCCTGGAAGTGTTGAAGGCCAGGTTGGATGAGGCTTTGAACAACCTGGTCTAGTGGAAGGTGTCCCTGCTGCTGGCAGGGGGGTTGGGACTGGATGAGCTTTAAGGTCCCTTCCAACCCAAACCAGTCTGGGATTCTATGATTCGTTCCCTGGGCCAGGGAAGGGGATTCACCTGTAGGAGCTGCGGTAAAGGTCTCTTTTCCTACAAGCTGCCCTAACGGGTGCACAAGGTGCTCCACACTTCCCAGGGAGAACAGGGAATTCCTCCCCGCCCTTCACCAGCCCCTGCACCACTACCTACAGCTGAACGTCAAAGTGTTTGTGGTGCCATCTCCTGTTCTTTGCCTTTTGAAACAAGGCTTCTCTTTGCCCCTCCTGTTTCTGTTGAAGGACAGGACAGGTTAGCAGCAGCAGAACCTGAACCAGCAGCTCTCCAGCCCTTACCTTGAGTAAGTGCTGTTTCCCCAGGTTTTAAGGGAGAAACACAAACCTCCCACTAAACACCTGCTCTCTGTCTGCTGTCAGGCAGCTCAGTAACCTCGGAAATTGCCAACAACAACCCAGTCCAGCAACAGCTGCTGTGCAGCAGCTCAGATCTTACTAATGGACACTGGCAAATTAGTACTGGCAATTAAAAAACTAAGGGCAGGCAAATCCAGAGAGCAGCTTTGCTTGGCTTTCTTCAGACACCCTCCTGCAGTACCTTCCTGGCTCCTCCCCACATCTGCCTTTGTTCTGCCTCTGGCTGCCCAGTCCCGTGTCCCTCCTGGACTGCTGAGGACAGTCACTGCAGCTCAGCCACAGCTACACACGCACTGAGCAGCGGCATTGGAGAGGCTGGAGCCCCCTCACCACCACGTTCTGTCTCACAGCACCCACAGCTTCCCTGCCCAGCCCATTTTCACCCACCCTGGCAGCACCTACTCTCTACACCTTTGTCAAACAGCACTTTTAGCCAGTGGGGAGGGTACGGAGAGGGCAGGCTTCCCTAGAGCAACCAGACTAAGAGCCAACAGGAACAACTCCTACGTGCCCCACAATTCACACCCATTTGTGGAAGACAAGGGCAGATGTGGGGACAGGGGAAGGATCTGCAGCGGGGCTGGGAAAGGGCAGGAGCTGATCACTGCCTGGGCTGCAAGAAATCCCCCC